TCAGAGATCGACACTCGGCAATTGTCTCTCTCTCTCTTTCTATCTCTATCTATCTATCTCTTTCTCTCTTCGTGATTCCGATTACACGTCGCCGAAGGTCGAGCGAGTATCGGGACCAATCGATGATAAGACCTCGCGTGTGTAAATCCGTACGGCACCGAGCGATTCTCGGTTGAATAGCGCGCCGTAATCTTCCTTTGAAAATGTGAATGAGGGAAGTTAAAGGCAACCTCACACGAGGATTCCCCTCCGAGAGGTTTCCGGCCGGGTCGAACAAAAGTCCTGCGGTATTGTTCTATGATTTACACCGGCGGTCTCAGGTATTCCGGGATCAGGGACCTGACGTGAATTTGGTCCGTGAGCTGCGACACCGACACTTGTCGCCCTCGGTAATTAAGCGAGCGCCCCAATTCAACCCCGGTCTGCCCGCCGCTAGGTCGCCACTCGTTTCTCTTTCTGCCAATGAAGCTGGTTCTTTTCAGAATGGGCCCTAAACGACGCGACGTGTAGGGTAGGTAGCCCGACACCCGATGGTGCAGATTAATTCGGATAGGTAGGACCGCTTTGTACCGATCAAATCTACCGACGACGGGGCAGGGCCGTACGCGTTCGTGGTCATCGAGTTAACCGAGGCCGATCGAGTGACGAGAACAAAAGATCTCCTTGACACTTCCATTATCGAGCAAGTCGATAAGGCGGCTCGAGATTAAATCGATTCTCTCCTCGACATATTCCTACCTGCCATCGCGTTAATTGGCATAATAATGCATTAAAACTTTCGTCTATTTGCCCCGTTGAGATACGACCGATCGGACAATCGTGAAGTGCGTCTGTTATCTTCTCGTACGCTGCAAGTGGTGAAGAACCTTGAGATAATCGTGAGATTAGAGAGAGAGAGAGAGAGAGAGAAACGCTTGTGTATCCGGAGATCTGGTAATGCGAGCGCACTAGTAAATCGCGTGTTACGCGCGTGAAACGGGATTTCAGAGAGCGGGATCGAAGGGTCGCCGCCCCGAAAGATACGGCCCTAAAAGGGCGCCGACGTTCTCCCACACGTGCGATTCCCCGCCGGCGTCTGATGAATTAGGCCGCTTGCAGCGACATTTGGCGACACGTAGAGAGAGGGGGAGAGAGAGGGAAATTTCAGAACCGTCCGTGAAGGACCTGCGGTCCGAATTCCGTGAAATGGCGAGACCCCGGCTCTCACTCGCTATCGGCTAATCATCGGGCGCGGGTGAAACTAATTAAAAGGCGGACTGATAACGATTTCGAGATTTAGAGTGCTCCGCAGGGAATTAACAGTCCATATGCGACACGAAATTTAGTTTTCAGCTGTGGCCGCTGGAAACTAAGTGCAGGGAAACTAAGTACGAGAGAATCCGCTTAATTAACCGAATTTCAATTGTATTACATGGATTTCCACCTGTACGCTTCTCTTTCTCCGTGCGGTAACGAAGAGAAGAACCGTGAGGGAAACGAAAAATCTCGAGTCGTCTCAAAACGAATAGACGAATAATCGAGCTTCAGAGCCGTTGAAGTAACGCGTCCGCCGGGGATTAATCCCAGAAGGAGATCTTATCGCACCCCTGCAGCTTAATTCGCGCGGGACACGCGCGTCGTTATCACGACGGCGTCGTTGATGGCTGTTGCGCGGAACGTTCCACAATGCGGACACTATCGCGGCTATCTACACGCCGCCGGGCATCATCTCGGATATCGAAGGCACGGTTGAACACGCATTTAATAGTGCAACGCAAGCAGAGAGCGCAGGAACGCGCCGTTCGGCGGACGGTTTAATTCTCCTTGTCGCTATCAGTCGCGCGGGCAACGTGACACCGAGCGACGGCGGACGAAGTCGGTCGCGATCGGTCAGCAATAATCGGCGGCGCGATTGATAATTAATTATCTCGTTGCGTTAGGCGGCCACCGGTCGTCCGTGATGCCGCGGCTGCGTTCCGTCATCAGTGCCTCGTTCTCTCTCGCGTCGTGGACACTCCGAGAGAGCCGCATCGCGAATTTTTCTCTCATTTCTTTCTCTCTCTCTCTCTTTCTCACTCTTTCTCTCTCTTTCCTCGCTCGTCCTCGTCCCGCTGCCGCCGCTGGCATCTTGGACGACGTGTTCACTACGAGCGGACGACGACGCGAAATTCGCACGTGTTTCGCGCGCGCGAGGAGTCCTTGAGTGCCTCGTTGTGAATGGTGCAATTTCTCTCTCTCTCTCTCTCTTTCTCTTCCATTTTCTCTCTCCCTCTCGTTCTCCCCCGACACATTCATTGAAATATATTAAAATATAATCGTGCCGTTGACTCACTTAGAAAAACAAACCTCGGCTCGCGAGGGGGATTGCGCAACCGCCCGCTCGTCACTGTCACCGGACACGTACGAGTCAGTGCGCGGCGGAATACCACGGCCGATACGCCTTGTACCGTAATTTATATACCGCCTGGCCGTCATCGCACATCTCGGCGGCGAAATGAAAGTAATAAAAAGAGATAAATAAATCGCGCGGATGACGCGTTCGCCGCGCAGAAACACGCGCCGACACGCCTGCCGATGGCGCGGCCAGCCCGTCTTCTCTCTCTCTCTATCTCGCGCACGTCGTTGCTATTGATGCGTGCACACTCTCGATCAACGGATTGTCCAGCTGTTATAAAGTGACCTTTAAGTTATTGTGCGCCGAGTGTTGCGTGATGATTCAAAAATGCGAGTGTGCGAAAGACGTTCGGCCGGCGATGCGCCAGCTGCGGAGAAACCGCGACCGACGCACCTTCCGCCGAGAATATTCCGCGGGAGAGAGTGAAGAGCGTCTCTCGAGAGAGAGTGCAAGAGAGAGAGAGAGAGAACTCAGTCATTTCAGGAAGAACATTCCGAAGACGAAGTTGTGTGATTCCACACGATATTTGCCTTCGATCGTCGCCGCGTTCTTTCGCGTTCTTCTCGAACAACTATCACGCATCTTGAAGCCAAATGCAAGATACTGCCTGCTATTTGATTGTTTCTCTCGAGAAAGATTCTAATAAGAGACTAGACTTAGGAGCTTCTTCTCCTGCCGAGCTAATATGTGAAATTAAGCGTCCCGAGGGCGTGCGAGGTTGTGATTGGTTCGGTGCCTTCGTAGCTGAACAGCTTCACTTTTACTGCGGTAGTCGGAAAATGCGTTAGTTGGTTAACCGGAGACGTAAATTAAGTTATCCTCTGTATTTGGTTGATAATTAAAATAGTAACAAAATAGAATGTCTCTAAGACGGTAGCTGATTTAATGAAGCTAGCGAAGCAGATTTACTACGCTTTACGCTGGCGACCCTCGCCTAATTTCTCTTATTATTCAGATGGTCGAATTCTTCGGATTAAACCGTTTTACACAAGCTGTCGAGTCTCTCAAGAAGAAATCACATATCCCTTTTCACCTAACATACATCCCCGAATTCTCAGAACCAGCAAAGAGAACGAACAGTGCTCTGAAAGCGGGAGCCTCAGAGATTCGTCCCAACAGGTGATCGTTCGTACGCGCAGCTAAGCTGAAACGGGGAGGCTGCAGCCGGCGGTGCGTTAAGGGTTGCCCGTCACGCGTCGCCGCGAGATCGCCGATTCGCCGTGGCCGGTTTTCCATATGATCTCGCTATACAAGAGAAAGAGAGAAAAAAGAAAGAAAAGAATAGAGAAAGACAGAGAGAGAAAGCATATATCGCGCGCGGAGTGCGTGCGGCAGAAGTAGGGTTGCGCGGCGGGGGCGTTCGTTCTCTCCAGGAGTGCACTCGCCGCGTGCGAGGGGTAAGAGGAGGGCTGTCGGAGGAGGGGAAGGAAACACGTCGGATGGAGGGGCAACCTCGTGTACGATACGAGTGGAGGGGTGGCACGGGAGGGGTGGGGGTATACTCTCTAGGCGAGCGGCGGCAGGGCAGCAGCCAGGTAAGAGACGAGCGAACACTAGTGGGGCTGACTTGCGCGCCTCGGAGCAGACGGGACTCTCACGGCCGGCACCACGTTCCGTTGTGTGTACTGTCGCGCGCGTGCACGGTCATATTGTCGCCTCGCCGTCGCGGCCACGTCTCTCGTGCTCCACTGTCTGTCGCGCGCGCATCTGTCGTGCCGCTCGCTCGTGTGTCGTGTGTCGCGCCTCCTCCGGTCGTTGCATCCCCGACCGTCTCGCCACCGGCTCCTTTCCCTCTCTCCCACGGTGCGGAGGAGGGTGCGATCTCCTCGGAGAGGGTTGGTCGAGCGTAGTCTCACAGTGGGAAAGAGAGAGAAAAGAGTCTGCGCCTCCCGTGTTTTCCCGCTCATCGCCACCCCCGCTGCCGCTGGCGAAGTGGCCGACTCCTCGTCGTTACGATGGAACACTGGCACCTTTCCAAGTCCGCTGCGAACCGGTGACGAATCGGTTGTTCACCACGCCGCTGACCACTGGCTCTCCCGAGGTCTCTCTCGAGGACACGATCGTCGCCGGGGGGTGGAGTCGCGCGCGCGGGGATTCAGGGTGGTTTCGCGCCAGGAAACCGAACGAGCGCGCATGGCCGGCGAGGATGTACATAGGATACACCGGTTCGTGTGTTGCTCCGGCGCGATGGGACGTGGAATTCGTCGTGGGTGCACGTACGCGTAGCTGTCACGCTCCGGAGTAGCTCGCCCCGATAGCGGCCGAGCAGCACGGCGAAAACAAAGTGCAACGCAGACGCAACACAGAGTGCAACGTGACGATGAGCGCTTAGATCCCGGGGATTCGACTACGCGGGTTTGCTCCTCGCGCGAGAAACCGGGAGAAGGGAGAATTCGCGAAAGTGTGCATGCGACGGTGTGTGGATGACCGAGTGGTGCCGTTCGGCCTCAGAGGGATATATATATATATATACATATACATATATATATAAACCAGTGTATTTGCTTGCACGAGGGGGACAGGGAGTGTTAAAGGACCAGCGGCGTCGTTGGATAGGAGCGAGGATTTTAAAAGCTGCTCCAGAGGCCAGCCCGACGCAATGCGTCGACGCTGCTGACGCAAACGCGCCTGGATGCGTCTCATTCTTATCACGTGAGTCTCTTAAGTAAGAAGCGAAAAGCGAGAAAATATATATCGAAGAGAGAGAGAGGGAAGGGGAGGAAGTCACGAGAACGCAGTAAAGAGCGTTCTTCCGGTAGCATCGGATAACCGCGAGGAGGAGGCCCGTACCTCGCCTATCTCGATCGAGTCGTGCGATCGAGTTAAGATGATTCCGAGGGAGTCGGGTGGAAGGACGATCTCAGCTTCCCCGCCACGTTACTCCGACACTTAGCGTCCTCCTCGCAGACCGAGGATCGTAGGCGCGCGTGTGCTTTTCCCTCTCAGGCACGAATTCGCTTCCCGTTTTACTCTTGCGCCTCTCCCCCCCGTCCCCGCGCGGGTGGAGGTCGTGGTGACCGTGCTGGTGCTTACGTGGCTGGCGTGCTGCTATTGTTGTCATCGTTGCTGCTGCGTGGTTGTTCTCAGTGGTGGTGGTATATGTGGCCGCGAGTAGTGCGACGGTGGTAGATGATATCCGGGCTGACAAAGGTTACTCGTACACGCATACTGGGATGACGCCCGCTTCGGATCACGCGGTCCCTTCACGATCTCGTCAGTCCACGTCGTCTAACGCGGAACCAAATGTAAGTTCCACGACGGTGCGCATCGCGTCGTGGCTCCCGCCGCTCCGAAGAGACCGCCTGGGCGCGCACCTATAGAAATTGATCGTTTCGCCGTCAAGCGTAGCCCTTTAACCGCGAGAAAACTTCTTTTCCGAGTAAGCGTTGTTATCAACGTCAGTGTTGTAATCATTCTACGTGCATGCTGTTAAATGCTGTTTGGTTGCTGAAAAGAATTCTAATTTTCTATCAGTGCGCGCTGACCGGTTACGGATGAACCGGCGAGATGTGACTCGCTGACCCTCGAGTCTGTGAGACGAAACCCGATTCTGTATGCTCGAATTTGTGTTTTCCGAATTAGCAAGTTTTTTTCTCTCTCTCTTTGGCCTTTGTCGTCTTCACAGGTGAGCAGATGAGAGTTCGTCGTTCATCGCTCGCCAAGATCCACGCGATCCGTGTTTGTTGCTCGATTCCGTTCAGCCACGAGGGTCTGCTTGAGATCGCTCCTCGATTGAAGAATCCGCGTGATAACAACGGTAATATGTACGGCTGAGGGAGAAACGCGACCGAGAACGACTTCGTACGGACGAGAAGAAGGCGCGGTTACGATTTTCAACGGTTTCTCGTTTGACATCGTTTCTCTCGGCGAATGAAGTAGGCTTCGGTCCGAAAAAGCGCGCGTCCCGATCTTCGGAGAGACCTAAATTTCCGATGGGGGGGCGAGACAGCGGGCAGTAAAGCGGCAAGTGGATTTTGTCACGGAGAAGCGTGACGATCTTGAAATGCAGTTATGATCAAACACGGCGAGTAAGAGAGAGAGAGAGAGAGAGAGAGAGAAGTTGTACCTCGCGGGTACGAAGATGCTTGTATAACGGTACGTCCGTTACGAGCGCAGTGTGCTACTGGGATAGTTTAAGGGAGAAGACCTCGCGGACGGAAAGAGAGAGAGAGAGAGAGACACACTTCTCTGCTTTCGGCCCTTTTTCTTCCCACATACCGGCCATTTTTCCGAGGGGGATTTGCATTGTAATCGTCTCGATATATCATCGGGTGAAATTGCATCTCCATTTTAGTACGTCGGGCATTTAAAAGAGGAAAGCTCGGCACCCATCTTGAGGTAGTCACTTTGAATTTATTTGCACTGCTGCTGGTGCATAACGGTCCCGGGCAGCGGTACTCAACCGAGCGTTCGTGCGCGCAACCCTTCGGACCAGTAACCCCTGCGGATGAGTGTGACCGGAGGGGCCTTGACACGATTTGCAGTCGGTTAACGAAACGCCACATCCTTTTAAGCCGCAACGGTTTCTCACGTTAGGCAGGGGAATTCCCGCGCGTGATTTCACGCGCCGTTTGCCGCTTTTGTGCGCGTCCAATTCGGTATTCTTCCCTCTCGGTCCCGAACTCTTCATTTCCCGCATTCTCTCGTCATTCTACTTTGCATCTATATAGACCTTTTCTTTTTACGGATTATACTGTGCCCATCTCTCAATGAATTCTATATTCGTCATCGGGCACTCTTACGTAACCGATATTCTGCGGAAAGAGATTTAGAAGGCACGACTTGAATACACGGGCTTGAAGAATCAAGCGCGCCGGCGAATCAAGCGTGACACGAATCAAGCACCTGTTCGAGTCTTTTCATCTTTCGAATCGCGTGGATTTTCGGGACGGGCACAAAGCAGCGAACTGCGGGCGCGCGAGCGAGCGATCGAAAAAAATATACCGATTGGACTTTCGAATTGTCAATAGAGACGTTCGGGCTTATCTGCCTGTCCGATATGCGTGCGCAAATAGTTCTCAATCCCGCCAGCGGCACACCGACGAATCGCTGCTCTTCGCCGTGTATTCCAGATCGAAATCTGCTGTCGTCGGTCTAGGAAGACAACAAGCCCGCGTGAAACAGAGCTCGTCCGCCGCTTCGATTGCGTAAACTGTCATAGATTTCCGCCTCTTTATCCGCCTCTTCGGCGATTATCGGGCGGCGAGCTCTGTCAGTCGCAAAATCAAACGATACGCCCGCGATAACGCGACATATTTCAGATAAAGGAAACGCGCAATTAAAATGCTTTTCGGATGAGCCCCGCGCGCCCGATTAAGCGACAAACGGCTCCAACAGACTCCGCTATTCTAGCCTTTCTCTCGCCTCTTGTTCTCTCGCTTCTCTTTCTCTCTTTCCCTTCACCTCCTCTGTCGCCGAGTACCTGACACTCAATCAATCCTTTCGAACAGATTAAGGCTTTTCCCTATCAATAACAAATTGATGACTTCAAATCGCCGCGCCGTCGCTCGTGAGCGCACAACTCTTTGTTCAGCTGAATCGATACGATACTCTCTCAAGTCGAATCGAATACGATGTAAATTAAATCAATTAAACATGATTAAGAAGATCTCAGGCAAAATCATCGGCAATGCCTTAAGATTATGACGAAGACAATAAAAAAAAGGAATAATAAATAATACCTTTTTCCATCGACTCTGCAGTTAGATTTCTCCGATGAAAACAATTGCTGTTATCAACTGGCTTTTGCAGCGATATTTTACCGATTTGCAGTGCTATATTTATAACTATTAGTGACCGCTTCTAAGTGATAATACACCGATTGCACTTCAGAGAGTGGGTCTCTCTCGCGGACAGGCGTTATCATTTCGATTTATTCCGCCGCGCTGCCCCTGTAATCACCGGCTCGCATTTTCGACATATCGTTCGCGGGGGAAAGGAGCGCGTGCGGGGCGGCGTGCACGTGGGTCGTTCATTCCGCGCTGTATGGAAGTTGGTCTGAATTGCAGGGAATTATCCCCCGCCGAGACATGAGTGACAGCGTTCATTGCGCCGTCGCGAGCCGCCTGGGACCTTTCACGACTCGTTGGCTTTTATCGCGTTTCCCGGTAATAGGTGGGCGACTCTCCGAGGGCACCTTGCACGAGCGAACGCGGTGAATTTGGAGAACAGACCGATGACACGGTCCTATTATTTCCCCCCATCGATTTTCCCCCCGAGGCTCGTGTGGAAAAACGGGAATCGACTGCCCGTGTATACAACTGATATCTAATTGCCAGACCTAGTTTTTAATCGTAGGAGATAGAAAGTAGGTACGGAGACAAAAAATTAATTAAAATTCAGTTACGTATGAGTAGGTAATTTTTGCCTGGCGGGAGCTAGTTTTCAACTGTGGAAGCGAATTTTTCTCTTCCGTGCGAATGTTTGATTTCGCCCGCCTGCAGCTACGACCCCGATATCGCGTTTAATTGAACGCACGTGTCAATGATGCAGCGTTAAAATTAGATATTTCATGCCTCTCGCGCGTGGCGGTGGTGTTTTGTCGCCACTCGAAAATTAGCATTTATACGTCTCGTGAGAAATCCTAGGCTTTCCTCCGAGCGAGCGGCGGTCGATCGGCGCCCATCGCGCGCGGAGCATGACGCCCGGTAACGATGCTCAACCTACGCCACCGCGCGCAAACATTGTAAATCCCCGACGAAGCGTGTGCTAACATGAATAATAAGCGAACACAAGAAAGATTTTAGCGGCCACGGGACACCGCGGTGGCTGTACACAATGCACTTCGGTTCACGCTTAGGTCTCGTTGAAGGAACGCCTGACATCTCAGATCCGGTTGCACCGTTTTCCCGCCGCCGAGCGATTCCCAATGCGTGTTTCACTCGCGAGCCGTGAATCTATGCGATGTATACCAAAGGAAAAAGTTTCTTTGAATTTGGCACATGTGTTCGTTTGACTTTGGGTTTGTTTAACGCGAACAACCGTTTAATATCAAACATTATTTTGTTTGAATGAAAATGTCACTAAAGTAAACTATATCGTTTGATAGAACAAACAGCGGTATTTGGACGAAATAATATTTGGTTTTCAGTAAGCAAGATTTATTCCATTATATGTTTTTCTCGAATATTTTTCTAATATAATGTTATTTCTTTCAAATAATTCATTACCTGTGACAACCATTGTAACGTTTGCATGAAAATGCCAAACAATATGATATTTGAAGTAAATATATTTATTGTTTGAGAAAACCGAACAATTCTGTTCGTTCAGTCAAACATCCTTTTGTTTGTTCCACTCCAAAAAATCATAAAATTGGTTTTTATTAAAGAAATTTTGTTAAATTCAAGAGAATTTTTTTCTCTGCGTATAGTAGGCGCGCAAATGTATATTTTCTTTCTCGTGGAAATATTAACATCGTGATATGTGGGGAAAATGTTACAAGCGGGAAAACATTCGAAAAATACATTCAAGGAGGAAACTTCGCGATTTACCGAAAGCTACATTTAACGTCATTATTTTAATGCGGCGTGAAGAGCAACTGGTGGAAGCTGCGAGATACCCTCGCGCGCGCTCGATATTGCCGCTGTAATTCTAATATATACCGAACAGAGTATCGATATACATGTGAACGCGCGGAGGCAATTCAATCA